TCATTAACGAATTCATTAATACATTAAGTGAGTCAAATCGGTGAACATCAGCATTTCCCGTTGAGAGTTCGCTCGGAATGCACGAGCGTACTTCATTAAAAATAATGCAAGCACTATAATATACTAAATGTTCTAAATGCACAGTATAGTTATTCATACAAAAAATTTTCAAAACAATGTACTACATGGAAAGTGGTCGAAAAAAGGCTCTTCTATAGCGTTCGTCCATAGGCCATAATACATAAGTGTACCATTCAAACTATTTAAGAATTATGGCCTGTAGATTGAACCCAAGAAAACAAGACGAGTAGACACTCTTAAATCATATCAGAAAGTGAACATGAATTGATCTTGACCCCTATAATAAAAGATGGATCTGTCTAAGCCCTGCTAGATGTTGCTTACATCCGCACAAACTTAATGTGAACTTGTATTATAAGCGATAGGGTATAGGGTGAAGTAGGGTTGAGATAACACTGCCTTGACCTTTTTGTGCATGTGTCTAATAGAAATTGATCAAACTGGTTATTCTGAGATGAAATTAGGGCGATATATGAAGAGTGCAGTTTTCTTCGTTTCGCATCATGTGACCGTAGTTTCCCGCATCGAAAGGCCGTATATTTTTTTACTAACAAACTACAAAAATTACAAAAGTAGATTGGAAAATCTCCAGCGGGTGATATCAACTACATACCATAAACAATGCAATTTTTAAGGCAAGAATATGTTTTGCTATTGATGATTGGGGGAATTTTAGACCGACTTTATTTGGGTTCAGGTATATTGCTGCGGACTTACTATAAAACAAGATGTTTTGCACATTACAGTAGATTTTGACGTTCAGTTCCGTGTGACCATCACTAAATCACAAACCTGTCTTGCAGAAAGAACGGAAGCAATCGCGTAGTCGTCTATTCTTATTATTATCGTTTTTAAATATTCTTTTTTAGATTAAGCATATGATGGCTTTCATCGAACAGGAGGCCAACGAAAAGGCTGAAGAGATTGATGCTAAAGCCGAAGAGGAGTTCAACATTGAAAAAGGGCGTTTAGTACAACAACAACGTCTTAAAATTATGGAATATTACGAAAAGAAAGAGAAACAAGTTGAATTACAAAAAAAGATTCAATCATCCAATATGCTTAATCAAGCCCGTTTAGAAGTAAATCTAAAGAAACCGTATTTATTTACTTAATTTGAGATATAACAGACACAATCTATTTTAGGTTCTGAAAGTGCGCGAGGATCACGTAGCTAGTGTTTTAGAAGAGGCACGTAAACGACTCGGTGAAATCACTAAAAATAAAGCGGAATATAAACAAGTCTTGGAGAAGTTAATCTTACAAGCCTTGTTTCAAACGATGGAACAAAATGTCATCCTACGTTGTCGTCAGGCAGATGTCGATCTCATTAAAGAAATCTTGCCATCTGTCATTAATAATTATAAAGAAATTATAGGAGATGATATCGAAATTGCCGTTGACAGGGAAAATCATTTATCTTCCAATTTGTGTGGTGGCATTGAAATAATTGCTTTAAATGGGCGTGTAAAGGTAAATAAACAAATGATTTGACAATAATATAAAAGGGAAGGAAGTAACTTGTATTTGCTTTAGACCGAATTTCGAAAATCTCACTTCTTTTTTTTTTATTGACCGTTTTTGGCGGTGAACCAGTAGATGTCAATCCCATTCACGAGTGCTGAATTAGCGTTGTTTACACCCATCATAGGGCGATGGAAATATTATCTCGTTCCCCCTCCTTGCGCTTTCCCTATAGGCGGAAGTAGACTTTGGTGATGCTAGGAAATACAACAAATTTTCAACAGTGTTACATTCAGCTGCATTCCTTTAGGCATCAAAATTTGTCGAATATAATCTTTATTGAAATTTCACAGTTTGAAAAAAAAAAGAAGAATCTATCAAAATTTTCAAGGCTATTTGTGCGAATAACTTACGATATTTATTGGGAATTTGAAATTTCAAATACATTACGTTATATCCATAGCAAGAAACCAAATCAAAATAAGGAAGATCTAAAAGAAATAGTTTAATTTGACACGAAAAGTTGTATCAATTGAATACAAAATTTTTAATGACGAACCGAAAGAGAAAAAACTTTATTTTTACATTTTCATGACAACGGCTCTAATCGGGGCTCTGGTGGGTATTAATTAAATATATTTTAGTAACATCCAGGGATAAATGATCTGGCCAAGCACACTTAGAGAGAGAAATTAAAAATTGTAAACCAAAATCTATAGCGGGCGTTAATTTAAAGACTAAATACTTGTCATGGCTGTTTAAAAAAAACCTATTTATTAGACACGTAAATTAAAACGCTTAATCTTCAATTTGTCTTTTTTTATATTTTTATTGAAAAAATGTTTCCTCTCACTTAGGTGCCAAACACGTTGGAATCGCGGTTGGATTTGATTGCGCAGCAGTTAGTGCCCGAAATACGTAATGCTCTGTTTGGCCGTAACGTCAATCGAAAATTTGCGGATTAAGTATCTCGTTTACTTGTTTGCTTTTTTTAAATTGATTTTCTTCGTTTTTCTGGAACACTACAAAAATTTTATTTTGAAAAATTTAATAGAAAACAAACGAAAAAAAGAGAAAACAGCCAACAAAATGGCTAATGCTCCTAGCAAAAAATTAAATAAAAAAAAAAACTAACCTCAGCAATAACTAAACAGGTGTAATAATAACAAGGAACCGAACACATAACAAAAACCCTGTAATTATCTAAAATTTTGTTTTGGAAGTATGTTTGAAATTTTTGAATGCAGTTTTCTCACTTCATCCAAACACACGCATTTGCTATTTTTAAAGCTATAATGAACGCAAAAGTACCGAGATATAAAAATATGGAAACAGTAATGCACAATAAATAATGTATACATACTTATAAATTAACAAAAGTGGAAAACATTTAGGTGAAATATTTGCATATACATATGCATGTTTGTTTCAATTTAATCCTACCAATATACGTATATGATGCTTGTGTTGAAGAATTAATTGTTGTAAATATAAGAAGGAGAGAAAGTATTTGTTTTTTCGAAAGTAAGCTTGTAAAAGCGATAAATTTTAAAATAATAAAATTGATAAGCACATATATATATACATACATATGCTTATCAGTTTTATTTTATAATTACAAATTATGTTCAAAAATTCTTACATTCCTGTACAAAGTTATCTAAATTACTGTATAAAGTTTATTATTATGTTACAATGAAAAAGTATAGAAAGATCTTGTTTTGCTTTCTCGATATGTAAACCTTTTTTATTATCACTTTTTAAATTAATCCTAAAGTTCAGCTGTGTCCTCACGCACCCTTTAAAATATGTAAAGTAAAACTGCCAACTTAAAAATTTTGCACAAAAAAAAAACGATTAAGGAATAGGTTGTCGATGTTAAAACTTTTTTAAGTGTCAGCATCCTTTAGATTTTTATTACTGAAATTTAAGAGAATATTTATTCCACTAATTAAGATCTAAAGACTTCTAAAAGCAAAATCGCCAACCTATTTAAATGGAAATATTCATTCCTATATTTTGACCGTAGCAACCTAAGGGTAAGGGCGGATGTAAATTATCCTTGTCTTTAAAGGCAACTGTCTAGTACTAGTTGTCCCTAACCAAAAAAAAAGGAATGAGCTTTGTCACTTTAAATTCAGAAACTGGGGTAATTATTGTTTTTTTTTTTTTAAAAAAGAAAAAAATTGAAAAAGTCTACCTTACCTTTTCTCCTATGAACTTTTTTTGTTCTTGTTTTCACAGCTAGTTTTACGTTTGTTTTGAAATCCTTTCTGTTTAAATTTATTTTATCTTTTCTTCACGTAGTAGTTTTCCGTATGATTACTTCAAGCGCTTTATTTACTCAAGGCAGTTTACATTGTTCATTTGCTGTACACATTACAATTATTGCCGTTAATTTTATTATTTGATCACTTGTTTGTATAAAACTTTATTTCCACTTTAAGTATTAATAAAATAACTTAAAAACATATACCCAAATTTTCGCGCGTTTGCTCCTAAAAAGCATAAATATAAAATATATTCATAAATAAAGAAGAGCAAATGTGTTTTTCTTTCCTACGTAATAACATAATTTTACCTGACAATTTTAATATTTATTTAATCCTTATTTTCTTCTTTTTTTGATTTTGCGCAGGCATTACTGAGTATAGCATCACTTCAGATTGACTGCTGCTTCACTCAAACATCGACTTTTGTTATGTGCCTATAAATTACTTTAAGATTTATTCGCAAAAAAGTGGTGCTGATATTTAATTTTTATATGAAATGTTTTCGATTAAGGTTTAAAGAGACGCGACGTATTACAAATATGTTCTGTATGTGTAGGGTTAACGTTTTCATTATTGCCTTAATTCATATAAGTAAAATCAAACCATGTATTTAACTCGGTGTATATGCTTCTATTTTTATGCACTCATAACATTACTGCTTCAAAAAAATAGAAGAGCGAAACAAATGTTACTATCATACAGAAGTCTTAATGATGAACTATATTAATTGATTATTAATCTTTCCGTATCAAATTTTGTTTTTGTGGAGCGTATGTGCACATAAGATCACATTATTCAAGAAGTTCAACGATCTCCTAGTTTTGGGTCAATGGTTTGAAGTTTGGTCAACAATCCGTCTCCCATATGAAGCGTAGCATACCTGTGTTATACAGATAGCGCTACACTTCCGATGATAAGGGTCAACCATCCATATCATTTTCAAAAAAATGTACCTAAATTATATAATTATATAAATTGTTGTTTCCGTAAGAGATGTCGGGCACGTGATAGCGATGGGCCATATAGTTAACTCTATCGATTTAAGTGGTTACTTAATACATATATTCATTTTAAGGTAGACACAAATTATACTCTAGGTAGAGACGTAAATGAAGGCGAATTAGGCTTTATTGAAAACTTAATCATTGGCCTATTCGAAATAAGTATACCATGCTTCAATTGTTTGCTCAGCATACACCATGCAAACAATTTTCGTTTTAGTCAGCTTATAAACGACAAATTAATGTAAGAGGCATTGAGATTACAGAAAACGATCAAACAAGGGATTTGTTCACGGTTCTCTTTATCGAACATACCATTTGGGTTGATAGTCCTCGTTAACGACAATTGGGTTAATGTTACTCGATATCGAACGTAAAATGTCACATTGTAACAAGAAAGCAAAGTAGCTACCAAACTTTATGTTGAAGAGAAAAATGAAGTAAAATATCATTATGAATCCACCTATTTGATAAAATTAATGGCAATATAAAGATTACTTAATCTCAGTGTTGGAAAGAATAATAAAATCAACTAATGATTCTCGATGCTTTTACTTCTTGGCGTCATAAAATTTGAAAAGCGATAAATGAATATAGAATTAATGAGAAAATTTGCCTAACCGACTAAAAGTGGATATACAGGGTTACAGGGTTGAAAATGTGATATATAGGGCCTACTTAGGTAATGTATAGACAGACAAGTTTAGAATGGAAATTACAAATATCGTGCCAGCCATTAAGAAAAAAAAAAAATTAGATGATGCAAATAAACGATCATTTATTTAATTCAATTTATTAAATTTTGCTTTCGTTCGAATTTTATATTTCGTTCATTTATTTACTCAGTTTTCCTCGTCTTCGCATTATTTTGTTACACATATACCAACAATATCGCAAATATACCGTTGTGCATACAACGAATGAGAACACATACCCGATACGTAGCTCGATCGAGTACTTTCAACCCAAAATGCGATCGTATAGCACGATAGCCCAATAACAAGAACCGTAAATCGGCCCAAGCTTTTTCTTTAACATATTCATTGATATAATAACAGGTAAATTAAAAAATTCGTAGTGCAACACCCATAAAGGATTAAAAAACTATCCAATTTACTAAGTTCTAGAGCTCACTCCTTGTATAACAAAAGTACGGTTTATAGTCAATATTGACAATCGGCCAACGATTAAACGATTATTAAAGGTATTAGTAAGATCTGTTTTTGCAAATACATGCAACTGTTACTTGTATATTGAAACTTTAATGCGCGCTCCCTTTCAAAATTGTATGAAAATGCTGGTGCAGGCTTATAACAAATTTCAAGCCATTGTGAATTGAAATAAACCTACACAAAATTCTGCAAAACACTGTCGAAGTTAGAATTAAAATACAGTAATGCACCCTATAACACGGCACTTTTATAATGCATTTTCCGCCATATAATTTATAATGATTTCTGTAGTTGATGATCAATTTCGCGAATAAAAATGTAATGACATTGTTTTCGGAATTATAAAATTTATTTGAAACTGTTTTAGTTACATATCTAAAAGTCCTTATTGGAGTGAACTGTGTTAAGTTAGTTAAAAAGACGACCCAGTGTATAATCACAAATGAAACAGTTTTAGAAGAATCAAAGACGTTCCAAACATTCATTTGAACAGATGCGCAAAGGTCTAATCAACTCATGTTTTGGAATGTCCAAAAACTTCATTGATCTTCACATTTACGCAAGGAAACCGTGGAATCAATGACTTTGAAAACAGTCACAAAGTATTCATAAAAATCATGTAATAATAACTGAATTTACATTATGTATATACTGCACAGAAATTTCAGTTTCTTTAGATATATAGTAATAGATGCCTTCTTCTTTCAATTGCGATTGCTGTTCTTGATTTGGAAATTTTTTTTGTTTATTAAAAAAGACTTAGGTGAGTATGATTCTCTATTTTTACAATCATTGAATAAAATAAAATCAAATTTGAACAGAAGTTCTTGATAAATTAATACGTAATATAATTTAATTAATTCTTTTTCACATTTAAATCACTAAATATTTGTCTCCTGTTTACAATTATATTAGTTTGATAAACCGCTATTTTAGTTTTTTTTCATATAATTTTTTATTATTGTTGTCCTTTTACATATTTAAGCCTGAAGTCTAAATTTTATTTAGTCTTTGTTTTCAAAATGAATGAATACCGTTTTACTAAGAACAGGCTGCAGGCAAAACTAACAGTATTGATGATATGAGAAATTTTAATTCTTTTTCAGTTTCTTCGTATTTGTATACATACACTTATTTACAAATATATGTATATACGTAAACTAAACTTCTTTTATTACAGATGATCATTTTTTATCATTCCAACATCTGAAGGGTATTTTCAGGACGTATTGCTACGCATTAAACATATAAAGAGTTTCTATTTATGATATTTTATTATATTTTTTATACACATTTCTGCTACCTTTTTTTCTTTAGTTTCATTCCTTTATTTATTTGTTTTTCTTTTTTGCGGGGATTGCTTGCATTTATTATATATGTATATGTGTAATTGAATAGCATGAAGAAAATTTTTTTATCATGGAGAGAATTAATTGTGGTTGATGATGTTATTTAATCCTGTTCTTCCGATGTCAGCGCTTTCGCTTTTCCCGTTGCTACTTTCATTGGTGGTAATATTTGTTGTTTAATGTTGAAAACCAAAAGCATATGCGTATGCTGTAATTTTAAGTCTTTCAAGATTTTCAGTTGAAGGTGGTTGTTATTCTCCATTCTTTTGTTCTTCATCAGATTCAGACTCTGGAAAGAAATTTTCAAATTTATCAGTCTTATGCTGATAATAATTTGCATTCGGAAATTCACTTTTATAAACGTGTGCAAGTGAGTATTGGCCAATTTACACAAGTCGTAGGAAAAATTGGGCACCCATATT